GCTCAGGGGTGGGGGCCAGGGGGAGGACATACGGTCCCCCCCTTATTGGTATTTAGGACCCCCACCACTCAGGGGTGGAGGCCGGGGGGGATAATAGGTCCCCCCCATTACTTTACTTTAGGGCCCCCACCCACCACTCATGGGTGGGGGTCGGGGGGAGAACAATAGATCCCTCCCTTATTTTACTTTAGGGCCCCCACCTGCTGTTCAGGGGTGGGGGGGCAATAGGTCCCCCCTTCAGGTTAGGAGGGGGATGGGGGACGTGTTTTTTTGTTTGATTGTTTTTTTTTTTTACAGTGAGCAGCCACAGACATTCCCCTACTCGCGGTATAGCTAGTAGGGGCATAATTTACTAATACTAAGTAATCTTTACTTATTATTAGTAAATGTGGCTAAAAGACCAATTTAGGTCTTTCAGCCTTTTAGTAGATAGCTCCCTAATACCGTGGGAATTAGGGAGTTATCTACTTATTCATTCCTGTCATTACATTGACTGGCCAAATAACTTACATTTTATATGAATGTGTGTTACTTGATTGTTGTAAGTGTTGCAAATGCTTACAGCTGAATCCTGGCTACTTTGTATACTTTTTATTTAAAATTGTATACAGTGTAACATTCTTCTTCTTCCACTGGGTAAGTATATTAGTACGTAGGCAATACTGTGCTTCGGAACTTCGGCAATTCGGAACTTCGGCACTTCGAAACTTCGGAAATTCTGTAATTTCGGGACCTCGGTAATTCGGTACTTTGGCCATTCGGCACTTTGGCTATTCGGACATTCGGGAGTACCCGAATGTCCGAATTGCCCAAAATTCGTCCGAATACATATTCGGCCCGAAACGAATTGCACATGTCTAGCATTTATAGGAACAGGACAAATTCATTAAAGAACAAGGTTTGTGGAAAAGTGGTTGAATTAAAAGATGACTCATGTAGTGGATGGTATTGTGTGCTATGTAATTACAGAATTGAAAAAACATAGGTAGATATTCAATGGGTCCGAAAATCAATACACTGCTGTTAAACCTTCTGTAATTGGAAATAAATAGAAATGTTCTAAAAGTAGAGCAATCAATATATTGATTACATTTGTTATCATTGTGATTACTTACATTTTAGAACTTTGCCACGCAATTGTTCTTTATGGTTAACCAATAAAATGCTTTTTTAACTATTTGACTATTAAAGGGACACTCTAGGCACTATAACCATGTAATTAGTTATGGTGCCTGGAGTCCCCTGGCATTGTCTCTCCATTCAATGTTAAACCATTTTCAAGCAGTCTAATACTAAGGGTTCCTGGCTTCCCACAGCCCAGCCCCTCCTCCATGCATAGCTAAGGCACAGATTGCTCACTTCCTTCTAGCCATACCAATTCATACCAGCAATAGGCACCGTGATAGGCTGCAAGTGGTCAGTTGACACTCACGGCCAATCACAGCTGCCTATTGCTGTTTAGGCTAATGCTTGCTCGCTAGCACAAGCAGCACAGAAGGTATGGACTACTGGGGATTCCTGTCTAGAAATAAAACAGAAGAAAACGGTATAATGCTTAATGGAGGGATGGCAACGTAATGACATGGTTGGAAACTAGTGTTCTAGATGCCCTCCGTAAAACTAGTTAAACCTTTTCCCATGGATTCCTCACTGATCATATTGGTTTATAGTTTTGGATGTTGCTCATGTGGTTTATAGTTTTGACACGTGCTACTATATTTTTTTATATTATTGTTATGAGTTCTAAAAAAATGCTGTTCTGTGTTTAAAGTTAGTGTGAAATAGACTTGCAATACATCCAATGTCAGAATGAGATAGAAGTTCAGGTCTGGTGAGTAAGGAACGCATATAAAAAAGTAATTTATTGCAATGTCGGATTTGTAAGTAGATACAATTTACCTACCACCATTTCCAGTAGTTAAAAAAAGCATCCTATAATTAATTTTAATATGCACAATTTAACTAGATTTAATCAGAATCACAGTAGGGATCTTTGATGTATTTTAACATGTGACGGAAGATGAAGAAATATATTCATTGAATGACTAAAGTCATGTTAATCATTTGTTTTTTTTCTTAC